GAATTTCAAATGGCATTTAAAGTATGAATTATTACCATTTAGCAAATCAATATTACCTAAAAATTAAAACTAAAACAAATGCTAAGAAAAGCAATGATGCAAGTATTTGATAATGTATTATAATATTTTCAGCTTTTATATTTAATCTGAAGAGAAAAAAATGGAACAAGATATAAAGCTAAGCAGATACTGACATAGTACTACCTTTTCTAAGAAAATACCAGATGTTTGATTATTCATGAAGTAAAACCTATCACAAAATGAGAAGAAATAACTCATAACCTTATTAAGCTCAAAATAGAACTAAAATTCTTTTTCATCTGAAGCAGTTAAGTATAGCAATATACTTACATGTAATTTGAAAACGAATCAACATAGCGCAAGATTTTTAAAAAAACATTACATAAGTATTATTTAAAAGAGTTACTCAACTTCTACTCCACACACACAAAATAAACTTTAGCTTTCAGTCATAAGTGGACTGCCTAAGCTAGTTTTGCTGAATGGTTAAATAGAAAAGGAAAGCTGATTTCATCAGTTTCAACAAGCCTTATTGTTTTCTATATGCAAAGCTTATATTAGACTATGAAAAATAAAAAGATTACAACATAGTGTGACATGGTCCCTGGCTTTCAGCAGATCAGGGTGAAGTGGAAAGACAAGTCAACATACAATTCCAACACACAGTAAGTGCCCAAAGAGAACACAAGGAGGGTTACTTTCTGGCAGACAAAGAAAACTTGGCAGAGCTGATGACACCTAAATTCAATTTTGACAGATGAGTAGAAATTAGGTAAAAGAAGAAAGAAATACGAACATAATTGGCAAAAAATAAAAACAAAAACATAAGAACATATAAATATAAATGTGTGAAATAATTTGGTGTGAGCAGAATACAGCACGAAATTCAAATATCAATAAAGTTTGAAATGGACAATGGTCACAAATGAAACTGGAGAGACAGAGGTCAGAAAATGGAGAATGACAGGCTAAGGAGGTTGAATATAAGTCAATGTGTGATATACTCATTAAAGTATTTTAAGCAAGAAGAAACACATCACATTTACATTTTATAATAGTTAATAAATAATTAACTTTGAATACATAATTTATTCCAGTTCTCAGCCCTAGCCATATTACTTTTCAATTCCAGTTTACTCACTTTCAATAACCCAGAAGCACTTCCTAACCATATCCATCACCCTCTGAGTTAATTACACTTAACTAATCACGCCAGAGACCGGAGTCACATAGAAGGTCTACTTATTAAAAATCTACACCAGCCTATATATTTCATATTCTTACCTTGTATTAAGAATTGTGCCTTATCATTTATGTACATTAAACAGTACGCACTGGCATTTCTATAACCACCAAAAGAGTCCCTCACTAGCTCTTCCCATGATGATTTTGTCACGGCAATATCATTGTACTTCATCCACCTGTTTTCACGATGATCAAAAATGTATGCCCAGTAGTGCCCGGCATTAGCTTGGCCTTCATGAACTAAAACAGCATGCAAGCGATATGGAACCTAAATGTGAAAACAGAAGAGTTAAACAGCAGTCCAGCAGTCTATTAGACCACATTCCACGAAGCCTACCAACTATCTGGCTGAAAGACACCATAGGAGCATATGTTTCTTAACAAGAGAAAATTGGTTGAGATTAAAAGTTTGAAAAAAATAAACTATGAGATAATTAAAGGAGGGGAAATAAATAAGCTAAAGACATGGAAAGCAGACAGGTGGGTAAATAGGATAATTTTCAAAACTCTGAAAATGTATTTGTATACATATATTCATTGACCAATTTCAGTTATTTCTTTCAAATAAAAAACTTATGATGAACATTTTTATATATAATACATGATTTGTCTAAATCTTCACAATTATAAATTGATGGCTGAGTTTAACAAAATGGCTTATATAATCTATACCAGAACTTAAAATGTAATTGAACTCTATACTTTCTCCCATAATCTTAATATCCTTAAACAACCTTACAATTTCTCCCATAATATCTTATCTTTAAATAGTAAGGTGTTTGGGAAAATTTGGTACATCGTATTGTAAAATAATAAAAAGAGTAAGCAATAATTATAGTATGAAAATACAGCTGAACCGGGAAATATTAATGTGGCTTTTTTAAGAGTTCAGCAATTTTATAAAACAACATGTAAGGAGAATTACGCTAAGATAAATAAAGATAAATTAACTTATGTAAATAATTCTGATAATGTTTACTAGCTCAATATTTAACTTACTTGGATCATAGATTTGTCAGAGTACATTAGTTCAATTGTTCGATGGATTCTGGATATGCTTTCCTGTAAATCTAAGAATAGATGTCATTTAATGATTAACATCAAGTATGATTCTGCTGAGACTTACAAGGTGGGGACTAAAGGTTTCTTACCAATATGTTAGAAGAATAAGGAAAGTTCCCTAACACTGTTCTTAAAAGCATTACTATTTGGAGTCTGTATAAAAAAATATATAGATCTCTTTAATAAAAGATATAGCATAAATGCATATTTAAAAATCAAAACAAATACGATTCATTTAGAAAATGTGCAGAACCAATAAAACTGAACTTTGTTCAAATCTATAAAGGAAGGCTTCAATGAAAATTAAAGCTAAACCCCCTTACATATATATTTATATAAAACAGAAAAACTTCAGAATAAAATAAGTTCACATATCACACACACACACACACACACACACATATGTAACTGAAAAAAAATTCACTATAATCACCAATGGAAATAGTTACGAGACTCCCATTACTCGTTATTTCTACTGCCAGTAGAAATCTATCCTACAAAATTATTCAGACACAGATATTCATAACTATATTGTGTATAATAATTAAAAAAAACTGGAGACAACCTAAATATCTGTCAATAGGGAAATGGTTAAATTATAGTATAATGGTATAACCACATGATACTGTGAAGCTATTGAAAAGAATCAGGAACAAATGATGAACGACTACAAAAAAGTATTAGTAACTTTAGAGTGGGGACAGGCCTTCCTAAGCCTGAAAGAATAATCAAGTAACCATAAAGGAAAAAGATAAGACTCCCTTCCCAGACTTAAGAAAATCTACATTGTAAAAACAAAATAAAAAGCAACATAAAGGAAGTCAAATAACAAAGACAAATGGGGAAGATAATACTTGCAGCATACACTTATAGGAAATAGGTTAATATCAATAATGTTACAGTTTCTATTAAGCAATAAGAGAAAGACAAGTGGTTCAATATAAAAAAATGAGCATGTCACAAACAAGAAATTTATAGAAAAATAAAATTTCACTCATAATTAAGGAAATGCAAGACATTGAAATACTATTTTCTTTTAATTATCACACTCCACAGACTAAAATATGCCTCAGGCTAAGGAGGATGTTGAGAGACAGGCTGTCTCATACAGTTAGTGGGAATGTAAACTGGTTCAATATTTTGTGGAGACAATTTTTAAATAGCCAACTTTAAATCTATACACTTTGGACAAGAAATGGCACTTTAAAAAACATATCCTATAACTACTGCACTGTGCTGTACAGCTGAAACTAATTTAAAAAAATGTTTATTTCATAAAAAAAAGCAAATACCATATATATATATATATATCATACATAAAAGTGTGTAAATATGTATGTAGAAGACCAGCACTATTTTCAGTGAGTATCAATATAGAAATCAAATAAATTATATCATATTCATATGTTAGAATATTAATCAATTGCTTAAAAAATAATGCTAACAGCTAATATCAACAGAGATGAAAGGGAGGAAACAAATATTCCTAGGAAAATCTTCTTACCTGCTCCATGTTATATTATTGGTCCAAAACATTATCACGTGAATGTCCCTCAAGTTCCTCAAACTTAAAATGGCCCAAAGTGGACTCACCATATTCCTACTTCCTCCCTGGAGGTGGATACCTGCTCTCCCCCAGCAGGCTGCCCTTTTCCAAACTCTTCAGTTATTCCTACCATTAGGAATTACTAAGAGAATCATCCTTGATTCCTCCCTCTCTTGTCCATGATTTACACTTGTCAGTTGTCTCTAAAGAGTATTTCAAATCCATTCATTTCTTTCCTTTCCTCAACACCACTACCTAAATGTCAAAAGTTTCCTAGCTTCCCCTCTTATAAATCTTACACAACTAACACAATCTGCCAAGTTCAGCAGACAGTTATCCCAAACCTAGCACAGTGTCCAGGAAACACTATATGCTTAATTAATGTGTACTAATGAATTTAAACATAAAAAAATTCCCTTATAATATAAAAATACTAAGAGAAATATTTACAGTTGCTAATTCTAATTGTTAGTTACTATCATATCCTATTTACACTCTATTAAAGTAGGACTGCTCTTTACATGTTGTCTGTAAAACATCAAGTTGAGCATCTAAAATCCAAGAACTGATATTATTTAATATAGTTCCAATCTTTTGGTATAAAACAGTAGTTATTTTTAAATTTAAATTAAAATTTTTAATTTTAAAAATCCTAGATTTTTTTTCATAGATCAATAAAATTGGGGGACGATAATAGGGTATTGCATTTTTGACTTGTAAGAAAAAATTATAATAAAATCTACCATAAAATATTAACATTACTTCATTTTTAAAAAGGACATTTTAACAATAGTAAAGTGGGAAGGACATAATTTCAGAATAAAGGAGAGAGCCTTCCAAGAAAAGACAGATGGCAACTTAACACCAACACACATATGCACACGTCCCCCCACACCCCCCACAGAGCACTGTCCTTATTTTGCTACATGCCGGTTAAAACTAATTACAAGTTGGCACTGAGCTCAGAGATCATATTTGGATATCTCATTAGATCAGAGTGAAAATTAAAATTCACATTTCTAATTCTTAAGCCTAAAGAAAAATTTTTATCACTTGAGCTTCATCATGTAAGCATCAGGTGCTTGTAAGCACATACTTTATAAGTACAAAATATGATGCTGTGTGATGTTTCATCCATGGAGTAGCTGTGAATACCAGTTTGATATAAATTTAGAGCACTAAACTAGAAAATCAGACCATCTGCTATGACATTAATCAGCTAAGTAATCCAGGGAAAATCTTTCGGTCTCACTGAACCTGATATTAAGATCATAAAAATGGGAAGCCAGACTAGTTTATCTTTCAGAAAACCCTTCCTAGAAAAAAAAAAAATTTGTAACATTTACATATGAAATCCAGAGGTGATTTCCCTTCTCAATTTTATGTTTATACATCTCCATCTGAGGCAACAGTAACTATGCTGTGTAAAGCTTCTTACCTCTGGTGTCATTTTCTATTTCTGTCCTCCAGCGATGTAAACAGCTTTCTAGCACAGAAAGTTCTTCTTCTGTTATGTGCCTCGGTGCTGGGTGCATGGGCAAATCTGGAGGTACCCGAGACTGAGTGAATGGTTTGTGGATTACCGATCGGGATGAAATGGCAGCTACTGATGCAGGCGATGTGCTTGGCAGTTCTGAATGCGGAGCTCCCTGTGGTTCTGTTGTGCTGTATTTTTAAAGTATAAAATATTATTAAACTTTCCAAACTGAAGCTCTGGCAAAGACTGTGCCAAACACATAGCATTAAATTGGCTTATAATTTCAAAAGAAAAAGGTCTTAAAAAAGAGAGAGAAATATGTAGATTAATCTAATATCCTAATGAGATTCTTAACATACGAGGACTACATTATTATAAGGATGAAATTGTGGCATTATAGAAATGGCTTGATCATATTTACTAAAAAAAAAAAAAAAAAGAAAGAAAATCTTATGTGTAGCAAAATTATAAAGACCTTCCCTTGCTAATACCAGCTTACATTATAGAAAAAAATTCTAATTTAACAGTATTATTTTCATCAGTAAAAGGTTGAAACATACAACATACCAAAGCAACTTAAAGTATAATTCTGGACAGAAAAAAATATTGGGCTGTTGGAAAGTTATGACGCATTTTTGCAACGAAAAACATGGAAAAAATATGTCATGACTTTTCCAACAACCCAATATGATGAAAAATTCAATCCACAAAAATAAAATTGGTTGAGACAATGAAATAAGAAAGCACCCAGAAGACATACAATCTTCTAAGTGAATCTAATCTTTATAGAGTTCATTAAAATTACCCACAACATGCATCTTTAAAGAGCATCAATACATTGTTATGTAACATAGGTAACACAGCTGTCTCTTGTATCAAAACCACATTTTACCTGGGTAACGCCTGCGATGGTATGGAACCACTAGGTGGGGAACTAGCATCAATATCATCAATAGGAGAAGTGCAAACAGGCTTACTGGAGGCAAATTCCAATGCATACTGTAGAACATCTACCAATGGGAATCGTTTGGGACCCGAACCGTAGCTTAAATATCTGTTAACCATAAAAGGTATCAACACTTTTAGTTCTATATAAAGCATTTTTTTAAAAATAATTTTTATAAACCATAAAAACACTTCAGTGAATCTTCCTCAACAGTGAAATTAAATTTGCTTCCACATGAAAATGGTGGGACTGAATATACATTCAAAAATAAATTAAATATTCTCCAAAGACCAGAAACCAAAGTTGATTAAGACTGAATGTGCACATAAACTGTTATAAATTAAAAATGCTGCTCTAAGTTGTAAACCAATAGGAAAATGAAAACTGACAGTTCTATTTCCTGAGACTTTTCATTTTTAGATCTGTCATCTGGTCTCATGATCAAGATGGTGACTAACATTATCCTACTTTTTACTGCTGATTATTTTCAATATGATTACTGATACTTTTCAATAATAATAATTATTGAAATATGATATATTATTTTTGTATAAAAAAGTTTTAGGGTATTAATTTTCAAATTAACACTAAAATAAGGGAATGCGGATTGGGTCAGAGGTTGCAAACTGGGCCACATTTCAGCCTGTGCACTTTTGTCCGAACTACAGAACATTGGAAAGTCTAGATTTCGGCTTCTTTTGGAACCATTCTGAAGCCTTAGACATATGGCTTCAGTGAGATGATATTTATCCTGAGACCACCAACTAGTGTGGATGGAAGCCACAGGGATGTGCTCTCTCGGCAACCTTTGTCCACCACTTATATATAACTTGCTTCCCTTCTTTATAAAACCTCCATGAGGCCCTGGTAGGGATGTGAGTTTGTATCTTCTGTGCTAAGGAGGAAAACTCAGTCACCGTCTGTTTAACTCACACTCAAGCATAATACTTAGTCTCATGAAAACAAACAAACAAACCTCAATTGTTTTAATTTAACTTTCTATTTAGAAAGTTAATTTAACTATTTACAGCACCATAAGCATTATGTGTTGATGGTGAGAATATTTAATTTTAAACACTAAAATAATCTTAAAATGCCAACTATAAATTATTTTGAGTTTCTAAGAGAACTCAAAACTAAACTATATAAGCAAAAATTATCAATTCACAATGATTACCTACTTTTAGAATCATAAATTACTTAAGGTGAATTTAAAATGAAAGATTCTAGATAATCACTAAAATACAAATTCCTATAGATAGTTCACAATTCTGTAAAAGTTACAATACCTTTCTAGTCTTTGTTGTAATACTGTGAGGTAATCTTTTAGTCTCTTGATCTCTTCCCTCTTAATTCTTGTTATTTCTCTGTTTCTGTGCATGTACCTATCAGGAAAAAAAAATAGCAATCATTAATATTTCTAAATATCATGGAAGTAGACACAGTATTAAGTCTAGACAATAACACAAAAGATCAATTTGTTCAAATTTTGTAATCAAATACCAAGATAGTACAAAATAGTATTTTTCAAAATTCTAACAATTATAATACAAAATAATTTTTAAAAACTTCCTTATAACATTATTCCCAGTAACCATATCTTTCTAAATAGAAAAAGAACTCCCATTTTTCTTGACAAATGCTATTAGATATATTATGCAAAAAGTAAAGATTAATTCTAAGCAAAATTCCCTAAAAACAGTCATAATCTTTCACCTGATTACTAGACTCTTTCAAAACTAAGTCATGCTATAAACCATACCTGTCCAGATATAAAACTTGAGGAAATTCTAATTTGTTATGAATTTTTTCTGGTCTTCCCAATGCCTGATTAAATTCAAATCTTGACAATTCAAATGTTAACACAGGTGGTAGTTCAGTAAACCAATGCTGAAAAACAACAACAAAAACTTTCTTTTTTCTCCATTCCAATTTTAGGCACAGTATATTACAACCGAGTTTTTATATTATCATCACAATGTTGACCATCACAAATAATTGACTGGGTATGCAATTTAGTTAAAACTCAACCTCTTCCTACAAATTTTCCATACCTCTTGAAAATTCCAAGGATGAGGATAACATAAACCAGGAAAAAGAAAGAAACATCTTCTAATGACTCTCCTTCTCCCATGATAATTCTTTACATTAGAATTTCTAACCCAAAGAGACAGCCATTTGTTAAAATCATAGCTTAGTAGCGCAGGTCTTCTGGCTTCTTCAAATTTATGGTACTACTATTGCTATGAATGGTACATACACTTATTATAATCAACCACACTGTCAAAAATCTGTGACAAAGTAAACTGTAAGACGTAGTACACAAAGGAAAAAAAGATTTATAACATAAATGATCATAATATCCATGCTAAAACCTAGAAACTGATACTTTCCTGTTTTAAACTTAATTTTCCTACTGGAATTTTGACTAATTTAAGAAAATGATTTATCACTAACAAATGTGGAGTTAATACTTACAGTAACTATATTTAAAAACATTTTAAATGACTAGTATTTAAAGAATTAAATGTCTCACTGCTATGAACCAACTCCTCAAACTTTGGTAACTTCTTCAGTTAAGCGTGGAATACAACAAAAACTTCAAAAGAAAATTATTTTCATAAAACAGATTGAAGTTTTACATAAACATTATTTACTTAAGAGAGAAAGAAAAATGAACAAACTTGTGAATCGACAAATACAGAAATATAAAGGGATGTAACAAATGTTTAAAGTGCTTATTATAAGCCTTGAAATGTATGGCTTTTGGCTACTGTAAAAATAAATTGCCACATACTACATTATGCATAATACTTTGAATTGCCAAAAACCGCACTACACAAATGTCAATAAGCTAAATGTACACTAATTTAAATTCAAACATCCAAAAAAAGCAGGAACGACACACATTTAGCAAACTGGATTTAACTAAGATCTTGAAAGTTGCTACTTTTCTCTAATAAAGCAAATAAAAGTAAATGGTTATTCAAAACTATTTCTCTCTCCCCAAATGCTCATGATTATCTGAATTGAGGTTTCCTGAGTTGGATAATGGTGTATCTTTTACTAAAAATTGAAGTTTAAGGAATTTGTTTTATTTTATATGGGTATTACCCAAACTTGGCTAGAGAAAGTTATGAAAAATCTAATATCAAAAACATTCTTAAGTTTTAAAATTTCTTGAGCAAATTTGCTTTTGTTCTCACATAATGGCAAGAATTTTAGTATTAATCCACATCTAAAATTACTATTAAGAATTAAAGCATACTGCATATATATCACAAAGAAAACTTTTGATGCCTTAGGGTATCATTCTCTACTACATTTTATGATACTCAAAGAAGCATATAAGTAGATTTCAAGAACTAATACTTTCATATTTTATTGCAATATTTTAAATGTCACCATTAAAATTATATAGTTATATACTTTGATTAATGGGAACCTTAATTTTTCCAAGCAATAAAAAACTATATTTACTTCTTTAATCTAACTGGTACACAATGCTTGTGAGACACAGGTTATTAAAGGTAAAAATGATGCTTATAATCTCCATATCCCCAAATATATTTATTATTATTCCATTATATAATAGACCTACAGGAGTAATAGATTAATGCAATTAATGAATAAGATGTGCAACAGCGGTGCTCCTGAATTTATGACTATAAATCTGACCTGTTACCAGAAATATTTTCTAGAGAGAATACAGTCATTTTTATGAGTTACAACAGCTGATTTTTCTGTTAATATATTTTAAATACCTTGCTTTTGTGAGATTACATGAATACAGGGAGGAATAAAAAACCAGAAAAAACAGACCTGCCATTTCAAATTCCCCCTAGAACACCAAACAAAGCCAGAATGTAAACTAAGAATGAGAATAAAAAACTTCCTATTCAAATTCAAAAATTAGTTTCAGTCATTTAATTGTCTTTACTCATTTACCCTTTCACTTTAAAAAATAAATGTCTCATATAACATCTACATATATCTAACATGGTACATGTAAGTATTGTTTCTTTAATTTAGTTTTTAGTTAGTTTTATAAAATTTCTTTCAGCACTTTGATTATAACTTAGTACAA